GGCTGGGGATTCGAACCCGCCACCTTAGGTGTATATGGCTGGCGCCTTAGCCGCTTGAGCCAGAGGCGCCGAGCCTATTATTTATTTATTTATTGCTTGTGTTAAAATGAACAGATTAAAAATGGCAGATTTGGGTGGCACCTGTGGCTCAAAGGAGTGAGGCACCAGCCCCATATACCAGACATGGTGGGTTCAAACCTGGGCCCAGCCAAAAACTGCAAAAAAAACTATCAGATTCTTTACATGGTTTATTTAGCTGCATAAGTAGTGCTAGTTGTGAAACAAGTGAATTAAATTTGGAAGTAGTTCTATTCATAAGGTCGGCTAGAGATTTCTGTGTTGATAGCAGTATTCTAGGGAGTTAGTTTTTATATGACTTGTGTTTTTTAATGTTTGGTGGTGATGAGAGAATGAGGAAAACAAAGACAATAGAAAAAGAATAGGATTGGGTGGCGCCTGTGGCTCAAAGGGGTAGGGTGCCGGTCCCATATGCCGGAGGTGGCGGGTTCAAACCCAGCCCCAGCCAAAAACTGCAAAAAAAAAGAAAAGAGTAGGATTGACCTACCTGAGAATAACCAGAGTAATAGGGGAAAGGTGGTATATGTTAATTGTTTAATTTGTTTGGGCTTTTACAGTGAAGGAAAGCTCCAGAGTGGTAAAGAAGGTCCCCAAAGGAACATCCAGTTACCAAGCTGAATGGATTTTAGATGAAGATGGTGGAAGTGGTGGGGAAGGAGATGAATATGATGCTACAGAACATGAGGATCTCATGGAAGAGGAATCTCAGGTAAAGAAATGGGCCCTTAGGGCGGCACCTGTGGCTCAAGGAGAAGGGCTCCAGCCCTGTATACTGGAGGTAGAGGGTTCAAACCTGGCCTTGGCCAAAAACTGCAACAAAAATAAATAAATAAATAAAATATTTTAAAAAGAAGAAAGAAAGAAATGGGCCCTTAGACCACTTCTGTGTACATCTCCAAATGCAAGGCAAACTGTAACTCCTAATTTTGAGGTGTGTGTGTGGTCCGTTTCTTAAGAATTATTCTGGGCTGTTGGCTCAGCACTTGTAGCTCCGTGATTAAGGCACCCGCCACATACACCAGGGCTGGTGGGTTTGAACCTGGCCTGGGCTAGCTGAACAATGACAACTACAATAAAAAAAAATAGCTAGGCTTTGTGGTGGGTGCCTGTAGTCCCAGCTACTTGGGAGTATGAGGCAAGAGAATCTCTTAAGCCCAAGAGTTTGAGGTTACTGTGAGCTGTGACACCACACACTCGACTAAGGGCAACATAATGAGACCTTGTCTCAAAAAAAAGAAAAAGGAGGAATCACGCTGACCAGTCACCAGCGTGTGGAGGACTCACACTGAATAGTCACCAGCATGTGGAGGGATCACGCTGACCAGTCACCGGCGTGTGGAGGGATCACATATGGTGTCAGCCACATGCACCCAGGCTGGTAGGTTCAAACCTAGCCTGGGCCAGCTGGGGCAACAATGACAACTGCAACCAAAAAATAGCCAGGCATTGTGGTGGGCACCTGTAGTCCCAGCTACGTGAGAGGCTGAGGCAAGAGAATCCCTTAAGCCCAAGAGTTTACAGTTGCTGTGAGCTGGGCACCTGTAGTCCCAGCTACGTGAGAGGCTGAGGCAAGAGAATCCCTTAAGCCCAAGAGTTAACAGTTGCTGTGAGCCGTGATGCCATGGCATTCTACCCAGGGTGATGTAGTGAGACTGTCTCAAAAAAAAAAAAAAGAGACTCTGGAATGGGCACAGTGACTTAAAGCCTGTAATCTGAGTACTCTGGGAGGCAGAGGCGAGTGGATCACTTGAGGTCACGAGTTAGTGACTAGCCTGAGCAAGAGTGAGACTCCAATTACTAAAAATGAAAAAATGAGGTAAGAGGATCAGTTGAGCCCAAGAGTTGGAGGTTGCTGTGAGCTATGACACCATGGCACTCTACCCAGGGCATCAAAAAAAAAAAAAAAAAAAACTCAGTATCTCTTAGAATTTATATTTGTTGGGAATAGGTATCCAGTAAAATTATTTTTTTAGCTTAATGGCTTTTGTGATAGAGACAAATGTGAGTTTTTTCTGAAATAACTATAATCCTTTATTCCATAGGATGAGAGTAGTGAGCAAGATGAGGAGGAATGTGAAACTATGACTATAGGGGAGTCTGTACGTGATGATCTGTATGATGAGAAAATAGATGAAGCGGCTGAGGAAAAAATGTTGGAGAAATATAAACAAGAAAGACTGGAAGAGATGTTTCCGGATGAAGTGGACACCCCCCGTGATGTTGCTGCTAGAATTCGGTTTGTCAACAAGTCTAAATTGAATCAATAAGTTTTTATTTAAAACTTGTTTGGCTTAAAACTCTGTCACTGTGATACAAAAGAAGAAAAACACGTTGTTCTTACTTCTGAAGGACTAATATTTTGTATCAGAAGTTAATATATACAGGAAATAATATATAATTAAGTTCTAGAGTGGTATAGACTAATGTTATAGGACTTTAATGAAGGCAAATACTTCTGTAGGAGCTAATTAATATTCAATTGAGGTATATAACCTTAGGAGGTTTCGAGGGGTTTGCATTGAACTGCAAAAGCACGAAGATGTAGAAGATCACATCTGCTCTGGAAGTTAAGTCTGACTAAAACCATAGAGTTCATGCTGGGTATCAGAGAGGAAGGACTATGCCAAGGATTTTGTTTGTCAGGTTAAAGAGCCACTCCCTGTCAGGCAACAAGGAGCCACTGTAAATCTCTGTCCTTTGTCTGTGAGAAGCTTGGGTTTGGTTCTGATATAATTGTTTATGAGTTGTTTTGGAGTTTGGTCTTGGTTTAAGTAGAGATAGTGATTAGAGTTCTTGAAGCTAGAGCTGTAGCCATTTTATTTATTTTTATTTTTTAATTTTTTTTGAGACAGAGCCTCAAGCTGTCGCCCTGGGTAGAGTGCCGTGGCCTCACAGCTCATAGCAACCTCCAACTCCTGGGCTTAAGTGATTCTCTTGCCTCAGCCTCCCAAGTAGCTGGGACTACAGGCACACACCGCAACACCGGCTATTTCTTGGTTGTAGTTGTCATTGTTGTTTGGCGGGCCCAGGCCGGATTTGAACCCACCAGTTTTGGTGTATGTGGCTGGCACCTTAGCCACTTTAGCTACAGGCGCCAGGCCAACCGTAGCCATTTTACAAGTGACTGGAGTGTAGCACAGCGGTTCTCAACCTGTGGGTCGCAGCCCACAGGAACTGTATTAAAGGGCAACTGCATTAGGAAGGTTGAGAACACTGATGTAGCATCATATAAATCTGACTTGATTTTCTTTAAAATCTATATTCTAGATTTCAGAAATACAGAGGCCTCAAAAGTTTCCGGACATCTCCATGGGATCCTAAGGAAAACCTTCCTCCAGATTATGCTCGGATCTTTCAGTTTCAGAACTTTACTAATACTAGGAAAAGCATCTTTAAAGAGATTGAGGAAAAAGAGGTTGAAGGAGCTGAGGTATCTACCTTCCTTTGTCCATCTAGTCCAAAAGCACTAACATTTGCTTTTGTCAGTGCACTCCCTAAGCACTGACATTTGCTTCTGTCAGTGCACTCCCTATTTCACCCCTCTTGGTATGAGAATGAAGTACCTTTCTTAGTTTTGTGTTGCCCTTAGATGAGTTAGAGGGGACACTGAGTCATCTGTAAGAGGAAGAGTAACATTGGGAACAAAGAGGTATAAAACATGTTAAGGAAAAAAGGTGAATACGGGTAACTAAAGCATTTTGAAGGACAAAAGGGTTGACTTTAAAAGGTAACCTGAGAGGCTTGACACTTTTATCATTGGAGAAATCCTTCTTCATTATTGGAACTTTTAAGAGTAACTTTATGATTGTTTTCTGCTTTCTTATGGCAGGTCGGCTGGTATGTCACACTTCATATCTCTGAAGTCCCAATCTCAGTGGTAGAATACTTCAGACAAGGAGCACCCTTAATTGCATTTTCTTTGCTACCTCATGAACAGAAGGTAAATTAGTGTCTTGTGGGAAATAAGGCGTTTCAAAACTTTGCAACCCACTTCTGTCTTGAAAGTCTAAAATTCTGTTGATGTGACTGCTACTTTGCTTATAGGGATGTGGAAATTCTGCCTCTATGGTTAGGAATCACGATAGTAGAGAAGTCAATGATGACTTTGAAAAAATGTCTGAACCTGTCTGAAGCATCTCAGTGATGCAAACCTTTTGTGTCTGAGACTTCTCTGAGATAAGTCTATTTTCCAGATCAGATTTTAAACAAGGGTTGGCAGCCCTAGAAATAAAGATGTATGCCAAGGTACAGATCTTTTTTCTCTTAGTGGGCAATACTTGTGTATGTTGAGGGGTATAACAGGTGTTTGGGTCAGTATGGGTAAGGAAGGGGTGAAGAAGGGGTTTGAGTTAATGCAGTTTTGAGTTGTGTGGTGAGTGAATGACTTGAAGGCTGCTGATTTTTCTGGCAGATGTTGAGCTCTTTTATGTTAGATTTGGGAAGGTAAACTGGTACAAAAGGGTTTGTGAAAGGTCTGATCAGCCTGAGTTTGACTCAGATGATGGTGATAGAGGTAAAAGAGGGCATGGAGTGGGGCAGCGCCTGTGGCTCAAAGGAGTAGGATGCCAGCCCCATGTGTAAGAGGTGGCGGGTTCAAACCCAGCCCTGGCCCAAAACTGCAAAAAAAAAAAAACCAAAAAAGGAGGGCATGGTGGCTCACGCCTGTAATCTTAGTACTCTGGGAGGCAGAGGTGGGTAGATCACCTAACCTTAGGAGTTTGAGCAAGAGCAAGACCCAGACTCAAACTAGCTGGGCATTGTGGTGGGCGCCTGTAGTCCCAGCTGCTCAGGAGGCTGAGAAAAGAGGATTGCTTGAGCCCAAGAGTTTGAGGTTGCTGTGAGTTATGACGTTACTGTACCCTACCCGGGGTGACAAAGTGAGACTCTGTCTCAAAAAAAATAAATCATCTACATGCCACCATTAATTAACAGTTCCTAGAGAAAATCTGAATCTGCTAGTTTGGTTTATCTTCTTTCAGATTAGGCTATTGTATTACTGACTGAACTACAAAATTTTTCTTTCCTTACTTTGACCTCAGATGTCGGTTTTGAATATGGTAGTGAGACGGGACCCTGGCAACACTGAACCTGTGAAAGCCAAAGAGGAGCTGATCTTCCACTGTGGGTTCAGGCGCTTCCGAGCCTCACCTTTATTCTCTCAGCATACTGCAGGTTAGCAGTGTTAGAAGCTTCTGGGTTCTTGTACATCTTACTGTCTTTTGAGAACTGTGACTTGGGTGGAGGGGTGCACAATACCTCGTTTGAAAATCTTCTGTCTCCAGCCACATAGATCAGGGCTAAGGGGTTCGTACCCAGCTTGGGCCTGCCAAACAACAGTGACAACTATAACAAAAATTAGCCTGGCATGTAGCTCAGTGGGTAGGGCGCTGGCCACATAGACTGTGGCATGCAGGTTCAAATCTGGCCTAGGCCAGCTAAACAACGACAATTGCAACCAAAAAATAGCCGGGCGTTGTGGCGGGCGCCTGTAGTCCTAGCTACTTGGGAGGCTGAGGCAAGAGAATCGTTTAAGCCCGAGAATTTAAGGTTGCTGTGAACTGTCACGCCACAGCACTCTACCCAGGGCAACGGCTTGAGATTCTGTCTCAAAAAAAGAAAAACAAAACTCTTCAATCTCTCAGAAGTATTTTCAATACTCAAGCTTAAAAGCTAATAATTTTTTTTTTTTTTTGAGACAGAGCCTCAAGCTATCCCCCTGGGTAGAGTGCTATGGCATCACAGCTCACATCAACCTCCAACTCGTGGGCTTAAGCGAGTCTCCTGCCTCAGCCTCCCAAGTAGCTGGGACCACAGGCGCCCGCCACAATGCCTGGCTATTTTTTGGTTGCAGCTGTCGTTGTTTGGTGGGCCCGAGCTGGATTCGAACCCTCCACCTTGGGTGTATATGTCTGGCGCCTTAGCCACTTGAGCCACGGGTGCTGAGCCGCCAGTGATGTTTTTTATGCAGAATGTCTGAACCTATCTGAAGCATCCAGTGATGATCCTCTATGTGGTGCTAAGGCTTTTCTGCCATGTTTCAGAATAGGGATGGAATGGGAGTTAGCAGCTTTATAAAATGGGTGTGTTAAAGTGTAGAAACCTTGGTGTCTTGTGTGCAAAGGGCAGTATGGGTAAAGAGATAGAGACTAGATGTGGCCCACATTTGGGTAAAGCAGGTATGGGTTCTGAGATGTTGGACTGGATGAGAATTTGGAGAATAGTGATGAGGAAGAGTTTTGTGACAAAAATGATTGCACTCCTACATACTACGAATAGAAAGATGCGTTGCCTCTAACTTGGGGACTTCTGAACATCGTCTTAGCTCACTCAACTAACGATAGGTGAAAGATAATGAAGACCATAGTAATAGTGTTTTGGATTTTTTTTTCTTTTTTTGAGATAGAGTCTCAAGCTGTTGCCCTGGGTAGAATGCCATGGCATCACACCTCACAGCAACCTCAAATTCTTGGGCTCACATGATTCTCTTGCCTCAGCCTCCCAAGTAGCTAGGACTACAGGCACCCAGCACACGCCCAGCTATTTTTTTTTCTTTGCAGTTGTCATTGTTTTTTAGCTGGCCCAGGCTGGTTTGAACCCACCAGCCTCAGTGTATATGGCCAGCGCTACCCACTGAGCTACGGGCGCCTCCTGTTTTAGATAATTTTTATGCTCACCATGTTGTCTAAATGAAAAATTTTTCTTTCCCTTAAAATACTTTATTTTCCTATAATTTTAGTATTTAAAAAAGGTACGAAAGTTACATTGAAGGTAAAAATAGAAGGTCAGGGTAGTCCTTAAGATACAAGGGCAAGTAAACTATGACCTTTGAGCTAAATCTGTCTCTTACTGCTTATTTTTGTAAGCAGAGTAATTGGAGTTTTTTTTATTTTTTTATTTTTAAAAGTAGCACAGTTGAGTAGTTGGGACAGGAAATTGTATGGCTGTAAACCTTAATGTATTTACTATTTTTCCATTTACAAAAAATGTTTGATAATACCTGCTTAAGACTAAGTTGTTGTTTAGTGTAGTTATTCTCTACAGTGCATTAATTCCTAAATGTAATAGGGATGGTGGGCAGCATAATCACCTGGAGAACTTTTTCAAATCCCAAATTTAGTCCTTGCTCCAAGGTTCTGCCTTCTGATAAAAAATATTACTGATAAGACTCTCATTTTTATTTGTATTGATACAGGAAAGATTTTTGAGAACTAGTGGGGTAGAGAAATACAAACTGTTTTAGGTTTAATAGTTGAAATAATAGCCTTTCACAGACCTGGATTACCTGTGGTTTTTCAAGATTTTTTGGTTTTTATTTTTTAACTCTTGATATGGCAGCGGACAAACATAAATTTCAGAGGTTCCTGACTGCTGATGTGTCCCTGGTGGTGACAGTATATGCTCCAATCACTTTTCCTCCTGCATCTGTGCTGCTTTTCAAGCAGAAAAGCAATGGTAAGTTGCTTTGATTGAGTTCACAGGCCTATAGGGCCTTATCAGATTAATACTATTTTCTCTTCCGTATGTAGATTTGGGAGCCAAATGGGACAGAGAAGGTAATGACAATTTTCAAAATATAGTAAGTTCTTACTTAACCTCATCAACAAAGTCTTAGAAACTGTGACTGTGAGCAAAAGGACATATAGCAGGTCCTTTTTTTTTTCTCACTATGTTATCCTTGGTATAGTGCTGTGGTGTCATAGCTCACAGCAACCTCAAACTCTTGGGCTTAAGCAATTCTTTTGCCTTAGCCTCCCAAGAGGCACCCGCCTCAACACCTAGCTGTTTTTTTTTTGTTGTTGTTGTTGTTGTAGCTGGCCTGGGCTGGGTTTGAACCTGCCACCCTTGGTATATGTGGCTGGTGCCATAACCACTGTGCTATGGATGCAAAGCCATACAGCAGGTCCTTGATTAATATAATGTTGGTGAAGAAAAACATTGGTTTTTGTTATAAGTATGTTATTTCACTTATCATCACAAGTTTCCAAGAACCTATCGATGAGGTTGAAGAGTTTACTACTTCATCCTAGGTCTAGGGCAGGGATGACAAACTGCCGCTTGCTTGCAAACCTTAGCTAATTGGAGGAAGCTGCTCTGAGTGCTGTGTTTAGGATAGGTTCTAGGGACAGGCTTAGCAGGAATACTATTTAGTGATCTTTGCCATGGACACAGGAGGGCAGCATAGTATAATGTTACTTTAAGGTTTTTCCAATAAAATCTTACATAAGTCTTTAAATAGACTGGAGTGGGGACGGTGCCTATGGCTTAAGGAGTAGGATAGACTGGAGCAATAAATGAAGGCCCTGGCCTATAGCCTCCTGGAACAGACGTCCTGCTTTGCTTTTGCCCCATAGGAATGCACAGCCTCATTGCTACAGGCCATCTGTTGTCAGTCAATCCAGATAGAATGGTGATCAAGAGAGTTGTTTTGAGTGGTCATCCTTTCAAAATTTTTACTAAGATGGCAGTAGTACGTTACATGTTCTTCAATAGAGGTAGGTATGAAGAAGGATGATAGGATCTGATTGCCTGTGTGGTATGAAGGTTGGGTTTACATTTTGTGGGTAAATACTTCATCTTGGTCTTTTATGTGTTATAAGAGGATGTGCTATGGTTTAAACCAGTGGAACTGAGAACAAAGTGGGGTCGCAGAGGACACATCAAGGAGCCTTTAGGTAAGAGAATGTGGGATTTGGGACCTTGTCTAGATTTCTCAGTGTTAACTAAATGACTGTTAGATTGGAGGTTATGCTTTAAATTTGTCTTTTAATTTGACCAATTTGCTCTGTTTTCTTTCTAGGTACTCACGGTCACATGAAGTGTAGCTTTGATGGGAAGCTAAAATCTCAGGACACAGTACTGATGAACCTCTATAAACGAGTTTTCCCCAAATGGACTTATGATCCATATGTACCAGAACCACTACCATGGGTAAAAAGTGATATTTCTTCAACAGTGCCTGAAGTGGGCATGGAGTGATGGATTTAAATAAATTCTGTTTTGCTCGTGCCAGTTAACATTCTAGGGATGACAGTCTACAGGTTGTGATTGGGCAAAGTTTGTTTTCTATGTTAGCCTATCAGTCTGTTGTCCCATTTGCAAAAGACTTTGCTTGGCCTTGATAATGTGTCTCAGTTAAGTATGAAAGTTTTTCTACTACTACGTAATCCAAAAAACTATTAAATCTTTACTGAAATATCCACTCTCTATTAAGCATTCAAAAACATTTAAGAGGGAAAGATGGAAAGTTGTTAATGACCAGGAAACAAAATGTTCAAGCATGTATAGACACTGATCCCATCTTTTCCTTTTGCATAAATCAAACAGAAACAGATTGGAAAGGAGCTGGATTTTCAGCCTCCTTTACCCAAGTTAGGGAAGTTAAATCCACATTTCCACCACTGAGCACAATGCAAATGTTCTTTACTTCTGGGGATACCGCTTGAAAATGCTGAGACAGCACAGCAGCCACTCCAACACCAGCTGTAGGTTCAATGAGTAGTTTCATCCTCTCCCACACCAGCTGGGTTGCATACTGTTGGTACAGAAGGGAATGAGAATTAGTGAGACGGGAGGCGGGGAGTTCAGGTGGTTTAATTATAAAGGCCAGAAGAAGGTATACCTGGTTTGAATTTTCTTATTCTTTAGGTACATGTGCCTGCCAAGGCTTTTCTTTCATCTTAACTGCTTCTACTGGCAAGAGAGTTATCATAATCCAGGGTATTTTCCCACATGTTACCAAGTCACCTCGTCAAGTTTCTGTGGGTTACCTACTGCTTATAACAGAGGGTTCTTTTGCTCAAGCAATTACACCATTTATTTATTTTCCTGTTGGAGCCTTACCTTAATTTCATCCTCTGTAACAGTGAAGACATCATCTACAAGATCCCTTATAATAGGCCAGGTGTTAAAGCCAATGTTGGATTTGACACCATCTGCTATCGTTTCTGGAGGATAAGGGTTGGGGGTCAGTTCCCCTTTCAGTTTGGACTGGTAGCAGTCATCTGCATTCAAGGGTTCAGCAGCATATACCTTCACACTAGGTCTCAGAGCCTAGGAAGAATATTAAGATAACAAATCATGACATTGCCGGCATGTCTAAAATAAGTAGAATAGGTAATAACATTTCTCCCTAATTAAGAGCTTTTCCCTTTGATGGATGTATTGAAAATATGATCTTAAGCACTTTATAAATAAATAGTATGTCTAATATTGGCCTTCAGTTGCCTGGATCACATGTTCTACTACTGGTTATTTGGGAAAGTGTTACCCCTGGTATGAATAGTAGAGTGTGAGAGATAGATGGAATTCAGGGATAGGACTATGAAGGTGCCATTCATTATAATAACTACTTTTGTTCTGGGAGGAATTTTGAACAGGTATCCACAATGTACTATGATGTGAAACGAATCCTATGTGCGAGGTGGGGAGAAGCCAGTTTTCTCACCTTAACTGTAATTGCTATTCCAGCAATCATTCCTCCTCCCCCTACAGGTACAACCAGTGCATCCACCAAGGGAACCTTTAGTGAAAAGAAAATAAAGTGTAAATAGCCTCTTTTTTTTTTTTTGGAGACCTAGCCTCAAGCTGTCACCCTGGGTAGAGTGCTGTGGCATCATAGCTCACAGCAACCTCCAACTCCTGGGCTCAAGCAATTCTCCTGCTTCCACCTCCCAAGTAGCTGGGATTATAGGCATCTGCCACAATGCCTAGCTATTTTTTGGTTTGCAGCCATCATTGTTTGGCAGGCCTGGGCTGAATTTGAACCTGCCAGCTCAGGTGCATGTGGCTGGTGCCTTAGCCGCTTGAGTCACAGGCGCTGAGCCCCTTTTCTTTTTTGAGACAGTCTCACTTTGTTGCCCTAGGTAGAGTGCTGTGGCATCACAGCTCACAGCAACCTCCAACTCTTAGGCTTAGGTGATCCTCTTGCCTCAGCCTTCTGAGTAGCTGGGACTACAGGCGCCCGCTACAATGCCCAGCTATTTTTTGTTGCAGTTTAGCTGGGGCTGGGTTTGAACCCCCCAGCCTTGATATGTGGGGCTGGCGCCCTACCCACTGAGCCACAGGCACCACCCAAATAGACCTATTAATAAGCAGGGTTTTTTTTGTTTTGTTTTTGTTTTTTGCATCAAGCTGTCGCCCTGGGTAGAATGCAGTGGCATGACAGCAACCTCCAACTCCTGGGCTTAAGCGATTCTCCTGCCTCAGCCTCCCAGGTAGCTGGGACTACAGGCACCCGCCACAATGCCTGGCTTTTTTGCTTGCAGTTTAGCAGGCCTGGACCAGATTTGAACCTGCTAGCTCTGGTATATGTGGCTGGCACCTTAACCGCATGAGCTACAGGTGCTGAGCCAATAAGAAGCTTTAGATGTACATATAAAATAATTGTATCTGCACCCTAATAGTTTAACCAGTAGCTAAACAGAGCTAGGCTGTTTTACCTGGTTCAGCACTTCTAGGGCAATTGTTCCTTGCCCAGCTATCACAGCAGGCTCTTGGGTGGGGTGTACCATGATGCCTTTTGTTTCTTCCATAACTCTTCTTGTAACATTTTCTCTGGACTGAAAGTACATTAATTAAGCTTACTTGATTTGCATTTAATAGCATTTCCAGCAAATTTATTTCAGCATCATAGCTCACAGCAACCTCAAACTCTTGGGCTCAAGCAGTTCTCTTGCCTCAGCCTCCCAAGTAGCTGGGACTACAGGTGCCTGCCACAATGCTTGGCTATTTTTTTGTTTTAGCAGGCCCTGGGCTGGGTTTGAACCCACCAACCCTGGCAGCCCTGGTACATGTGGCCGGCACCCTACCCACTGAGCTGCAGGCACTGCCCTTTTTAGATGGTGGTGGGGAAACAGTTTCACTTTGTGGAAAACTGGGCTAAAGTGATTCACTTGCCTCAGCCTCCCAAGTACCTGGACTACAGGTGCCCGCCACAGCACCTGACTATTTTTTAGAGACTGGGTCTTCTGCTTGCTCAGGCTGGTCTTGAACCTGTGTGTTCAAGCAATCTACCCATCTTGGCCTCCCGAAGTGCTAGGATTATAGGCATGAGCTACCACACCATCTGTCCTTGACTATTGGCTTTTTTTCCCCCAGACTATTCTGAAACAAATAAATAAATAGTGGACAAAATAGTCCCTGCCCTCAAGGATTAGAGTGCATGATAGAGAAGCGTGGGCTACTACCTAGGTTATATAGGAATAAGGAATAATATCTAGGTTATATAGGAAAAGAAGGAGGCTCGGCGCCTATAGCTCAACCAGCTAAGGCGCCAGCCACGTACACCTAAGGTGTCAGGTTCGAATCCCCAGCCCGGACCCGCCAAACAACAATGACGGCTGCAACCAAAAAATAGCTGGGCATTGTGGCGGGCGCCTGTGGTCCCAGCTACTTGGGAGGCGGAGGCAGGAGACTCGCTTGAGCCCAGGAGTTGGAGGTTGCTGTGAGCTGTAATGCCACAGCACTCTGCCCAAGGGGACAGCTTGAGGCTCTGTCTAAAAAAAGAAGGAATTTATGTAGGGTGGCCAGGAAGAGCCTCTGATAAAGTAACATTTAAACAGATTTGAATAAATGCAGTCCCTGGGATATTCCAGGGAGAGAGTAATACCAAGTGCAAAAGCTACAGAGTAGAGTACTTGAAATTTCTGAAAAGCTGCTAAGAAGGTAGTACGGCTGGCATGGAGTGCTTAGCAGAGAAAAATAGGAGATGACGTCAGAAAAAGGAATAGGCCAGTTCATCAGGCCATACATGATTGTAAGGACCATTTTTTGGTTGCAGCCGTCATTGTTGTTTGGCGGGCGCGGGCTGGATTCAAACCGCCACCTTGGGTGTACATGGCTGGCGCCTTATCCACTTGAGCCACAGGCGCCAAGCCAGGACTTTGGTTTCTACTGTGTAAAAGGTGGGAAACCATTTTGGAGGATTTTGAGTTGACAAGAGACAAGTTCTAACTTGTTAAATGGATAGCTCTCATTACTCTCCTAAAAACACTAGTGGGGCAAGGATGAAAGACCACTTAGGCCAGCTGTCCCCAACTTTTTTGGCACCAGGGACCAGTTTCCTAGAAGACAATTTTTCCATGGAGTAGTAGGGAGTAGGGCGTGTTTTGGGATGATTAAAGTGTATTAACATTTATTGTGCATTTTATTTCCATTATTAACTACATTATACTATGTAATGAAGTAATTATACAACTTGCCTTAACGCAGAATCAGTGAGAGCCCTGAGCTTTTCTTGGAACTAGATAGTCCCATCTGGGGGTGGTGGGAGACAGTGACACCCAAAATGTGTTGTTAATGTCCTTAGCTTTACCTCAGATCATCAGGCATTAGATTCTCATAAGGATTGTGTAACCTAGATCCTTCACATACATAGTAGTTTTGAGCTCCTGTGAGAATCTAACCCACCAACTGGTCTGACAGGAGACCAAGCTGGGACTGTGATGCGAACAATAGGGAGTGGTGGGAAATACAGATGAAGCTTCCCTCTCATCTGCTGCTCATCTCTAGCTGTGTGGGCATATTCCTAACAGGCCACAGGCCAATATTGGCCCATAGTCTAGGGGTTAGGGACCACAGACTTAGGCTACTATATCTAGATAAAAATTGATGTTGGGGCTCGGCGCCTATAGCTCAACCGGCTAAGGCGCCAGCCACGTACACCTAAGGTGGCGGGTTCGAATCCCCAGCCCGGACCCGCCAAACAGCAATGACGGCTGCAACCAAAAAATAGCCGGGTGTTGTGGCGGGCGCCTGTGGTCCCAGCTACTTGGGAGGCGGAGGCAGGAGACTCGCTTGAGCCCAGGAGTTGGAGGTTGCTGTGAGCTGTAATGCCACGGCACTCTGCCCAGGGGGACAGCTTGAGGCTCTGTCTCAAAAAAAAAAAAAAAAAAATTGATGTTGGTTTGAATCAGAGTGGTAATGCTAGAGACAGAAATAGCTGGATTGCAGAAACATTTTGAAAGTAGGACTGAGATTTAGATGTGAGGTGTAAGAGTTATTAAAAACAACTGATTTTTTTTTTTTTTTTGCTTGAACAACTAAAAGTATAAAAGTTGCCATTTACTAAGATGAGGAAAACTAGAGGGAGAATGATATGGGAGAGTAAAATCAGGAGTTTGGTTATTGACATCAATAAGTCTGAGAGGACTCTTAAGACATCCAAATGGGAAAGTCAGGTAGCCACTGGATATGTAAGTCTGGTGTTAGAGGAGAGGTCAGGGCTGGAGTTGTTAGATTATAGGTGGTATTTAATTAAAGTAATTTATTTATTTATGAGACAGTCTTGCTGTCACCCTGGGTAGAGTGCAGTGGCATCATAGCTCACTGCAACCTCAAACTCCTGAGTGTAATCCTCTTGTTTTGGCCTCCTAGAGTGCTAGGATTATAGGCCATGGTACCAGGCCTGTAGGCATTTTAAACAAGATGAATGAAATCATTTGAGTGAGTGTATATAGAGAAAAGGTTGGGTGTGCTAATATTGAAAAACAAAGGAACTGAGAAGCATTCAGTAAGGTAGAAAAGCGCAGTTGGTCAAACTGAACACTGTTCTTACCTCATCACTTTGTCCACTGTATACTATACATGCTCCATAAGCTTGTATTGCTAGTTTTTTACAGTTGGGTGCTGTGTGGGGCACCACAATATAGGCAGGAATCCCTAGTATGAGAAAACAGTTTAGTTAGTACAAGTAAGGAAAATTTAGGACAGAAACTCATGTTCACTTTGCTTATAATCAGAGCCTTTTTTAGGAATTTATTTTCCCTAGCTATAACCACAGAAGTTAAGGACACTTTTCCACTCTATTCTGATGATCTACCAGGTACCCTGAGAAATTAATCAAGTACCTTCCAATTTGGCAGCATAGGTGAGAGCCTGCCCATGGTTTCCACTGCTGTGAGTAACAACAGCTTTGGGCTTCCCTTCTAACGTGCCAGGAACCAATCCTCTGATGGCATTAAGAGCACCACGAATCTGGAAAAGGGATAGTAAATTCATGTATTTAATTAAAACGTTTCTTTTTGAAAAGGAGCTTATCTAGATTTGCTCTAACACTGTACATCCAATGTATCACTAAATCTTAACTGCTTCTATCTAAGAATCAATATCCTAAATATCTTATGTGCATCTTCTTTGTCATTACCTACGAGGCCTCATCTTTTGATTTCTCTATTATCAAACCTCAGCTTGATCCTGACCCCAAGGATCAATCTCATCTAGTATTTCCATTACAACATGAAGGTGATCTTTTAACAATGCAAACTCAGGGCTCGGTGCCTGTGGCTCAGGTGGCTAAGGCGCCAGCCACATACACCTAAGGTGGAGGGTTCAAATCCAGCCCGGGCCTGCCAAACAACAATGATGGCTGCAACCAAAAAATAGCTGGGCGTTGTGGTGGGCGCCTGTGGTCCCAGCTACTTGGGAGGTGGAGGCAGAAGACTCGCTTGAGCCCAGAGTTGGAGGTTGCTGTGAGCTGTGAGGCCACGGCACTCTACCCAGGGTGACAGCTTGAGGCTCTGTCTCAAAAAAAAAAAAAAAAAAGCAAACTCAGGTTTGGTGGCTCATACCAGTAATTCCAGTACTTTGGGAGGCTAAGACAGGAGGATTGCTTGAACCTAGTAGTTAGAAACCAGTCTGGACAATATAGTGAGAGATCCTGTCTCTACAAAAAGTAAAAAAAAAAAAAATGACCCAGGCATGGTGGTGTGTCTATATTCCTAACTATTTAAGGAGGCTGAGTGGGGAGGATCATTCCAGGATTTTGGAGCCTATAGGGAGCTATGATCTGTACTCCAGCCTGGGTGGCAGAGTGAGACTCTGTCTCAAAAAAGAAAAAGGCTCAGTGCCCATAGCACAGTGGTTATGGTGCCAGTCTCATACATGGAGGCTGGCCGGTTTGAACCTAGCCCGAGCCAGCTAAATGACGACAACTGCAACAAAAAATAGCTGAGTGTTGTGGCAGGCACCTGTAGTCCCAGCTACTTGAGAGGCTGAGGCAAGAGAATTGCTTAAGCCCAAGAGTCTGAGGTTGCTGTGAGCTGTGAGACCAAGCACTCTACTGAGGGTGACATAGTGAGACTCTGTCTCAAAGAAAAGAAAAGAAAAAAAAACCCTATCACTCTGCCCATTTTTTTTGGTAAGACAAAGTACAAGTCCCTTACAAGCTACAGCTTTTCTAAAACACCTATTTGGTGGCTCACGCCTATAATCTTAGCACTCTGAGAAGCTGAGGCAGGTGGACTGCCTGAGCTCATAAGTTCAAGACTAGCCTGAGTAAGAGGGAGACCATGTCTCTAGAATAGCTAGGCACTGAGGCGGGCACCTGGATTCCCAGCTACCCAGGAGGCTGAGGCAAGAGAATCGTTTGAGCCCAAGAATTTGAGGGTGCTGTGAGCTGTGATGCTATGGTACTCTACCAAGGGCAAGAAAGTGAGACTCTGTCTCAAAAAAAGAAAGAAAAAAAGATACTTCTCTTCAATCTATTTATTGACCAGCCAGTCTTCCCCAGTAAGTATGGATAAAGGACAAGGTGTCTCATATATATACCTAGTAGAGCTACTGAAAATAAGTGATGAAGAATTTTTTTTTTTTTTAGAGTCAGAGTCTCACTTCATTGCCCTTGGTAGAGTGCTGTGGCATCACAGCTCACAGCAACCTCCAACTCTGGGGCTTAGGCGATTCTCTTGCCTCAGCCTTCAGAGTAGCTGGGACTACAGGCGCCCACCAAAATGCCCAGCCATTTTTTGTTGTTGTTGCAGTTTATCTGGCTATTTTTTAAAGCTGAGGTCTCGCACTTGCTCAGGCTGGTATGAAACCTGTGAGCTCAGGCAATTCACCACCTCCACCTCCCAGAGTGCTAGGATGAGAAATAAATTTTTAAAAAGTGTGCATGCTCTCAGTTAATGGGTGGGCTAGCTAAAAGGTAGATTCTTGAACGCCTATGCTACTAATGAATAGATACTAATATCTGCCAGGCACAGTGCGAAATGCAGTTTTCAGTCTTTTACTTCAAATGATCTTAAAGCTCAACTAACAAGTTAGCTTCTAACAAGTTAGACCTCTGTGTGTAAAAAGTTAACACACAGGCTCGGCGCCTATAGCTCAACCGGCTAAGGCGCCAGCCACGTACACCTAAGGTGGCAGG